ATTTGCTATTCTGGCTTCAAGTTTTGGACTGCTCATTTGTATTTTTATTCCAAAATGTTATATTATCTTAGTGAAACCAGAGAAGAATACAAAAAGGAATATGATGGGGAAGGGGACACCTAAATCATTGTGAAAACTACAATATGGATTTTGCCAATAATATGTTGGCAAAAGCATTCAAGTGCTATCATAATTTTACATGTTAATTTGTTGACCAGACTTTTAAGTAGACATCTATCTTCATTTTATTGAAGACTTGCATAGTGCTACTGTAATATTTTTCCACTGTATATTATTTGATTAGTGAAATAGCATATTGAGATTGCAGCATTTACCACAATATAGAACACGTTCTAGATTTAGGTTTTATTATGGGTTCATTTATTCATTCTCAACCCAAAAGAGTTCAGCTTTGACCACACAGTTGTCATGGGTGATATTACCCTTTAAGCAGCTAGTCCTTCCCCATACATACACTAAACTCTTTCATCTTTAATGAGACCTCTGCTGATGATTTCTCCTTTGTTTTCTCTTTTATGATGTGAATGACCTGGTTGATCAGTTTGATATTTATCAGTTTTTTATCATGTTGCTCCCATTAGGACAAGGCCAAGGCACCAGTCAAAGCCATGGTGACACACACAAAGACAGATAATTATCTGCTTATAGTTTATCAGTCAAAAAAGGACAATAAGGTACTTTACAAACCTCACAAGCACAAAAAAGGATAACTCATGAGTTCTGTTTAACACCATTGATCGACTTGTAAATCATACTCCTTTCACTGTTTAAAGTTTTAAGCTTATTTTGTTGAAAAGGTTCAGGGTAATAAGGCCTCCATAATGCCTCCTACCTTATGCGTAACTTCTCCATATGCCTCCTCCAAATTGCTATGTGAATTTACCCCAATCTCCCTGAAAAATCTGCTTGATATTGTGTCACACTTTCACTTGTCTTTCAGTGGCCTTGACATTCTACCACTAGAAGTGGTACTAGAAGTCACTGCCCCTTGTCTTATTTCCATTGTATGAGTCTCTGTCCTCTGGTTTGTTCACAGACAATTTTAAACAAGCCTGTATCCATCCAAGAATGACCAAGAAACCTGGTCTTGATCCAACACCCCTTTACAGACCAATCTTTAAATTTCCCTTTGAATCTGCTTCATCGTTGGCACATTTGTTGTTCGGGGTTCTACAGGGGTCAATCCTGGTACCCATCTTGTTCAGCTTGTATATGCTCCCTCTTAGTTATATTATTGTTATGCCAATTACACCTAGCTTCATTTATCATTTAATTCTGACAACTTTATTAATCTTGATACTATACACTGCCTTGCTGCAAATATTGGACGTCACTGGATATTTTACAGCTGAATACAGACAAAACAGAAATCTTGGTCATTGGACCAGACCAAGTTCCAAAGACTATTAGTCCTCATCTCAGGCAAAGAATATAAAACCATCTAGAAATCATGGTGTTGAACCATGAAGCGGAATTTTGATGACCACATTAAGAAATTAGTTCAGTCCTGTTTTGTGCAGCTTAGAAATATTGCCAAAATCAGCTCAGTCTTGCCTAATAATATCATAAAGCAATTCATTCATGCTTTACAGAAATATTTCAGAAATATTCAGAAATATTGCCAAAATCAGCTCAGTCTTGCCTAATAATATCATAAAGCAATTCATTCATGCTTTTTTTCCTCCTGCCTGAATTACTGTAACTCCAAATTTTCTGGTAGGCTTTTTGACTAATACTAAACGATGCAAGCACATTTTGGCACACTTACACTGGCCCCCTGTATGCTTCAGAATTCAGTTCAAGATCCTCCTCATCACATTCAAAGCCTTACACTTCTATTATTTCTGATTTTATAACCCAATACTTCCTCAGATTTGCAGACCAATCTTAAATGTCCCATTGTCTAAGCTCACAACAAAGGGGGTCAATGCTTTTACTGTTTGCTCCAACACTATGTAATTGCCTCCCCCTCATTGTCAAGTAAGCTGAGTCTGTATTTTAAAAAAGCCCTTGTTGAAGTTTTGTTTTGTTGTTTACACTACTTTTAATTAGTATCTGCTTTTTAATTGCATTCTTACTCGCTTATACTATGCGTCTATGAGTACCATTATGCATTCTTTTTCTATTGCTTTTATTGTTGATTATCTGTTTTTGTTAACTGTGAAGCACTTCAGAATTGCTTTTTTGGAAAGTGCTATATATACATATATACAGAGAATGAGTTTATAAAATTGTAATTGACAATCGACAATAAATGCAATGCGTTTCACAGACAAAAACCTTGTTCAACTTATTTTTACTAGAGCTTGTTTCCTCCGGTCTATGAGGTTCATGCTATGCCATTAGCTGCAATTCTTGGTTCTGCTACTAACGAGGGGAAACTGTGTGCAAGGCTCAGCACAACCAGTTGAATTGGCCTAAGATGGTGACCTTGTTACTTGAGGCATCTTTTCAGTTCACAAAGGGCAGTGTGACAACAACAGGGTTCAACAAAAACTCATAAGATTTATAACATATAATTGACGTCTTAAGGGTCTTATGACCGAATTGCTGCTGGACCTGGTCAACCTGCTTGGAGTAATACATGAGAGTATAAAACATTGGACACACAGACACTTCCTGTTGCCAGTAGGGGGCGCTTTGACTATAACTGAATGTTGGCATGTAGATGTGTTCAGGGCAAGAATGTTATCATACGTGAAATTTGGGGCAAATTGGACAAAGTACGCTGAAGTTACGACAACTAACTGTTTTATGGCAAAATTTTGAAATCGGTCGCCACGCCATGAGCAATCTGTTCAACGAAAACTCAAAAATAGCAAAATTTAAGTTGATTAGATCAATTCCCTAGAAGGAGATTGTTAAAGTACAACACACGCTTGTAAAAAGAAAAGAACACTAAATTAATGACTTACTGTTGGGTGTGGAGTATGGCTCCAAAAGGCTTTTTTGTAAGTTAGGATGTGATAAATGTGTACCAATATGTATGAAAAATTGTGAAACGTGCCACAGGTGCTGCTGTTTAGGGGGCGCTATCAAGCCATTTTGCCACTCCATGACTCATATGCTGAAGTATATTTTCGCCACGGCTGACGAGGGTGCACCGTTCCATGAGTTATGGAGCATGTTGAAGCCAGCAAAAATGCGATTAATTTGGCCCAAGAAAGATATCTACCCTATCTGATATGCAGATACAGGTCCAGCGTTTAACATTTGGGAAGATATTTTGCCAGAACTGGAATATAATATTTATAGGTATGTTTTCATTAGCGTACACTCACCTGAACTTTAGAATCAAGTTTTGTTATCTTAGAAAGAGCCATTTACATGTAAACACTGTAGTTTCTCACTTGCATTTGCACTTGAAAAGAGTAGATGAAGTGACTGAGTTGCAATTAGCAACTACACCGCTAGATGTCAATAAATCCTACACATTGTAAGATGTTTAAAATACGCTGTGGCACAAAATTATTTTCACCGCCTGGTACTTCCACAGAGATAAAACTGTTCAATTATTATTTTTTATGCTGCTCCAACATGGTTTCTTTGAAACTCGAGATCTCGTGACTTTTTTTGTCACCTCGGGGGCTCCGTACCTCGGGGGCTTCGTAGTATAAAGATCGGTGCAAGCTTTCGATTTTCATGCAATGCCATGTGTATCATGGTTTCACACTCTTAGACAGCATGTCGTTCACACAGAGGTGTCCAGGGCAGGGTTGGGCACTCTTACAGCTGTTGTTGGTTGTGTCTTTCTCTCAGGCTGAGGAGCCGGTGTGCAAGCGGAGAGGGGAACCTGAGAACCCTCAGCTATCTAAGGATGGGGACATAATGTTTGGGGGAATCTTCTCTTTCCACAGCAGCTGGAAAGACAGACAGAACACCTACACTCACAAACCACTGCCACTACAATGCACCAGGTAAATTGTAACATAGCAATATATTTCGGTTTCAAATATAATAATATTGCTTATTTAATGCCATCAAATGCTTTCTTTTATTGTGTTATTGTTTCTACACAAACTACGTTTGTGAAATAACTATTTGTAACTGTCTGCATAAAGTTTGAATTTCAGAGAGTTCCAGTACGCCCAGGCTATGCTCTTTGCCATAGAGGAGATTAATAACAGCACAGACTTACTGCCTGGAATCTCTCTAGGCTATAAGATCTATGATGTCTGTGGCTCCATTGCCAGAAGTGTGAGGGTCACACTGGCCTTGGCTAATGGTAACGAAGAGGTATTTGCACCCTCCAAGGAACAATGTACTAAACCTGTCCAAGTACAAGCCATTATGGGAGAGAGCTCTTCCTCTCCTTGCATGGCTATAGCTACTGTCATCGGACCCTTTCATATCCCACTGGTGGGTAAAATTAGAAAATAAATGTTATTATGTTTGTGAAATATATGTATTTTTTACTAATTTATAATCTTTATTTGTATAGTCCACCCATGGGTATTTTATATTATAAGTATTTGTAACATTTCATCAGCTTGGTAGTTTTTTTTTTTTTCTGATACTATACCACTGTAGTTTTAGGTTCAGTTAGGTTTAGGCACAAAAACATTTTTGTTGGGTATATTCATTAATTGCCACACATACTGTAAAGATAATGTGTTAAACATCTACAATGCAAAACTGTTGAAATGTTAAAAATACATATGTATATAAACTATGTGTAGGTGGACTATCCAAAAGTACTGTCATTGTATTTTACATCTTTATCTTTGGATATCATTTCTCTTTTATTTTAGATCAGCCACTTTGCTACTTGTGCTTGTCTCAGTGATAAAACCAAGTACCCATCCTTCCTCAGAACAATACCCAGTGACTACTACCAGAGCAGAGCCGTACCAAGACCTGCCCCAAGTGCAGGCCTATTATGGGGGAACTTTTCTTTCTCCTTGCATGGCTATTGCTACTGTCATCGGTACCCTTTCATATCCCGCTGAGGTAAGATTGGTAAAAATGAAATTATTGATTGTAAAAAAAATAATTATCATTTCCCTGTAGGTCTTCCTGTTTTAAATAGTGAAACAGGTTTTAAAATAATTGTTGTGATGCTGGGAAAATGTTAATATTTTATGATGCTTATCTGAAGTTTCTTTTTCTTTT